GACCTCAGTCCCCATGGGGTGGAGCTGGTTCTGCAAGCTGAGGAGGGTGTTGCACAGTGACTCGGCTTCAGTAGCCAGCCTGAGCTGAAGGGGCTGGACCCCAATCCTGGCAAGCAGCTTGGCTGTGGGTTCCTTGCTCAGGTGGGCAAACGATCTGGTGATGGCCCGAAGGTGTCTTGTGGCCACGTGCTGCATGCGTTGGATGTCCTTATGTCCTGGTGATGAGGCCGCCACGCCGTAGAGCATGGTCGGTAGGACGGTGGACTGCCAAAGTTTAACCCGCTCCTGTGTGGGGAGGGAGGATTGCGAGCACAATACTTTCCGAAGGCGCTGCCACGTGCCATTGGCCTCCTGTAGACGGTGGGTGACCGTTTGTTTGGACGGCGAGTGGTAGCCGATGACGACTCCTAGGTAGACATGCTTATCCTTCAGCGGGAATTCAAACAGTCGAGCCTTGGGGGTGCGGATCCGGATGGCTTCCCCCTCCGGAGTGCGGATTAGATGCTGTTTCAGCCATTTGCGCGCGAAGTGGCCTCTGTATCGCATCAGGAACGCTGACTTCTGGGTATTGATCTTCATACCATGGTCAATGAGCGCATCCAAGACCGAGGCGAAGCGATGATGTGCACGCTCAAGTTCTTGGTATGACACTGCGGTATCCTGAAGCAAATAATCATCCGCGAAAGTGGTTGCACCTCGTGCAAGCCACTGCGGGTCGAGGATCGCCTCCAGACGCCTGTGTAGGAATGCGGTGAGAAGAACCCATAGTAATGGCGCTATTTTGCATCCTTGGCGTAGTCCGCGTGTGGCCGTGACAGAGGTGTGGAGCCTCAGATGTTGGATGTGATATCTGAGGGAACTATAGCAGTCGGAGACCCACGCTTTTATATCTTGAGGCACTCCCGCGTCCTCGAGCGAGTCCTGCAGCAGGCTCCAATCAACCAAATCGAACGCGCTTGATAGGTCCAACGAAAGTTGACATCCGGCATAGGCCTTCTGGGTCCTAGGCTTGTTTTCGTATGCATCCATTGTTGACCTTGAGGACCGTTCGCATGCTATCTGGACTT